GGAACACAGAAGGGAACTGAGATGGCCAATGTGTTTTCAGACCAAGAAGTGTCTACCTGTTCCTTTATCTACCCCCTGCTCCATGCATTTCTTCCTCTGAGGAGCTGGTTGCACATGACCCGAACCTAACCAAGATGGCAGCAAAGTTTTGAGTACTTCTCTATGAGAAGATGGCACCATCTCCTTCCATGGATGTTGTGCTTTGCTTCTGCCTCACTATTTTCTCTGTAGAGGAATTCAAGGTGACTTACAAATAATGCATTTAGATCTTGAACCACAAACTGTTTTTCCAATGTTTTAATATGAAGCTTGTTTAATTCTTTTTTAAAATATGTTCAGATTTAGCTTTTAAATATTGTCCTTTCAATGCCATAAGCCACCTTGGGTCCTTTTAAGGAGAAAGGCGGGTAAAAATATTTTCAATAAATAATTAATAATAATAACTTAAATAAATAATATATTTTTTAAAAAAACAGGGCTGAGAATATGGGGTCCTCCAGATATTATTGGACTGCTGCTTCCATTGCCCCAACACCATCCTTAACAAGTAGGTGGCCTGTTGCTAGGGGAGCATTCCTCTACATGGGAGACCAGCTCCTCAGAGAAATTAAAATAGAGAGAATGGGGAGGTAGAAGCAAAACAAAGCAAAGCAAAGCAAGAGTTTGTTTGTTTGTTTGTACCCTGCAGCTCACATCATAAAAAGGCAGCTAACATTGCAAAAAGGACAATATTTAAAAGCTAAAAACAACAATTATACAAATATTTAAAAAGAACTCAACCATAATAAAAACAGCAAATAGAATCAATACTAAAAACATTTAAAAGCAGCTGATCACAACAATCCAATTTGAAAAATCCCTTTCAGATAGTCAGTCGCTAAGGAAACAGCTGTCTGAAGAGAAAGGTGTTTGCCTGCTTGTGAAAGGACAGAAAAAAAAAAGAGCCAGCCTGGCCTCCAGTGGGAGGGAGTTCCAAAGTCTGGGAGCAGCCACGGAGAAGGCCTTCTCCTGTGTTCCCACCAAACCACACCTGTGAGGGTGGTGGGACAGAGAGAAAGGCCTCCCCTGATTACCTTAATGCCTGGGCAGGCTCACAGAGGGAGATGTGCTCTTTCAGATAGATTGGACCCAAGCTGTTGTAGGACTGTTATAGGAGCTGTACTCCAGCACCTGTTGGAGAGTCACACAATCCTCCTGCATATTTTACAGCCAGGCACTTATTTCTCCACCAAAAGTTCCCACCTAGCGTCTCTAATTAACGCTTCCCTAGCAACAGGCCAACTTCTTGTCATCAGTGATGATGATGATGCTCTTTTAAGGATGGTATGGGTTGGTTTGCCGTACAAAGTGAAAGTCAAGAAGTGAAAGGGGACTCCTCATGTTGCTTAAACCTAAGGAAAAGTGCAAAGGAAAGGCAGTTGCCAAAACTCACATGCACACTGTGCGGAATTAATAACCCTCTCCTCTTCCCCTCTTGAATTAATTCTTTGCTTACCATGACATTAGCTCTTCCTCGAAAATCTCATTTGCATTATGTAAAGCCCTGACATTATCCTGCTGGCAACAGATGCTCTTCTCTTCCTGGAGAAAATAAGAGAAGGGAAAAAAAAAGAGGGGAGTCAACTGTTTTTTAAATATGATTAAAGAAAAAATAGAGAATTGGAAATAGATTTGTAAATCAAGCTGAATATTCATACACTGTTTTCTCTGAAGAGCAAATATGAATCAGGCATTAAGGTGTCATTGCTTTATTTTTAAGATGGGAGTCCCTTGATGGGGCATAATTCAATATCCTATTAAGCGGCAATAAAGCCC